TACGATGCGTCGATCTGTGAAGGGCACCATGCCTTACAACTGAAACCCCAGATTCAGAATGAAACGAGAGGTGTAGACACGGACTGCTAACACCATCACTTGCTACTGTTGTTGGTGTTGCTGCCTTCGGTGCGGAACCCAAGGAGATGACTGCATTTTGTTCATGAATCCACGCATAGCAGGGAGAAGTCCAAGCCTTCTCCCGGCAGATCTGCATCGCGAGATTGCAACATCTCCTGCGCAAATGCCGGACACGACAGCGCGAGAAAGAGATCCGAGGAAGGCGAAGCACAAGCCAATACCTACAGGGTCATTTCCTATCCCCGTTCTGGGTACCTACTTTTCTATTTTGCAGAAGATAACATTTAAAAAAGGCACTCCAGACCCTCAAGGTAGACCGTTGCGACTACGCCGACGAACTCCTCGGGGAGATTTCTCGTGGACCTGGACTCCGGGTCATCAGACATAGAAACTGTGGGAAATGTATTTCGGGGTCGCTTTCTGCAGCGACACACCTGTCTGGAACCCATCCCATTAAGAACACAACTACTTCAGGGCAGCGTAGCGTTGCTGTCTGAGACCACGGCATCCCACGTGCTGCTGCCAGGGTCGAGCACAATTCTAGCACGACCTGCAGAAGTGAGTTTGCCTGCAGTCCCAAAATCTCATTTTGGTCGAGCAGCATGTTTCAACCACTTGGTCGCTGGTCGCTGTCTTACATGCACATCATTCGTGCCGTGTTTCGACTGTTGTGGAATTGGGCGAGGTGCTCTGGCAAACCTCACCCTCGCATCTACATCTGGCGAAACGTCACGCTTGATATCTTCGTCGGCGAGTCGTCTGCAGTCGGTCTTACAGCGTAAACATCTCAAGTCGATTCAGCAGGTTCAGTCAATGACATCAAGCCATAATCCGTGCATTCCTAAATGGTTATTGCACCGTGCGTATACATGTTGGCCACACGTCGTTGTCCGGCTCAGCAACTGAGCAGAATCCGAAAGCCTGGGTTCAACATGCAGTGCCTTTACAGAATGTAATTACGTTCTTGGAGTGAGCAAGGCACGTTCTGCACACCTGCCCTCCAGAAACGAAGTAACATGCAATTGCTCTCGCAATTGGAGCATTTAAGAGAAGCCCTGCAAGCATGTGCTGCGGATTGCTTTGTCTTGACAGCATTCCACAAAATTCCACACAACAAGACGAACTCGCACCGGCTGTGCAGGGCTTCGAACTCAATGCCATCAGACCTTGATGCACAGCATGGCACGGTCCCAGCTGACACCGGGGGTGCTGTACCCTTCACTCAAAGTTTAGCAAGGTCACTGCCCCATGTCTGGCCGCCCACAGAGTCCCATCTACGAGAAGCCAGACAGATGTCCTGCAATCAAGATTGGGAGAAAGGCCGGGCCACTTGTGTGAGGATCAGCTGGCCTGCCTCCACCGCAGCGCCATCTTCACTGCACCACGTACAGATCCGTGCATTGCAGCTTGTTCTTGCCTCTTGATGGCAAGTGCACAGCATCTGCAAGTTGCAGCTCGAGCCCAGCACCGGCAATAAAAAGCCAGATCCGAGCCCAGGCACGGCAGAAGCGGCGGAAGTGGTGCGAGATGTCCTTCACCAGGCCCAGGGTCTCTTTCAGCGCTGCCTCCTTAATCTCCTTCCTCAGACACCACGGACAAAACAACTCAAGCTGAAGGCAAACTATTCAACTACGTTAAGGTGCAATATCCAAGCTTCGAACGGCACGAGACAGCCAGCTGTAGCGTTTCGTCCCTCTCGTAGTCGCCGTGAGGCGTCCTGACCTCCTTGTAGCCACTCCCTCGACCACGAACACGTGCGCCAGCCCCGGTGTTGTAGATGGGGGCCATGTTGCAGCCACGCCGCCCGATTAAGCGAGGCACCAGCTCGAAGTCTGCATGATTTGTCAAATCGTAGCCATGGAAGACAACGGCGAAATTGAAGCTTTTCAGCTTCGGCTTCTGGACCGGAAGCTGGCACCGCGGCTGGCACCGCGGCTCCGCGGTGTATGGCATGGACGGGTCGGCCAGGGCGGTGAGGCCGGGAGGGAGGGGTAGCCGCGAGCGCAGGAGCTCGTGGGGCGAAGGGGTGGGGAGCGAGGCGAAGTTCTGAGAGGCGGACGAGTCGCTGCAGCTCTCGCTGTCCTCGGACTCTGCAGACGTCGATGCCAGGCTCGAGAGCCGATTGAGATAGAGACGGTTGAGGCTCGGAAGCAGGGAGTGGCTGGGTGTTACCCAGCAGGGCTCCAAACCAGGTGGCTTCAGCTCCAAATTTGATGGAAAAAATAGGGAGTGTGTGTCCATTGGTCCTGAGTATCCGCACCAGAGCAACCTCATGTCCTGCTTCAGAACCTCCAACAGTCTTCACTCTTGCAGACAAGATGCCCGCACCAATGACAAACTCATCCTGAAACGCCATCTTCAGCGAGAGACGTATATACAACAGAGAGATGGCAAGCTTGAGAGGAAGAGCTGCTCAGCATAGATCGCAAGCAAAAGCTCCCGCAAGGCTTTGCAAAGCAGCTAGCAGCAGCCGGCACCTCCACAACAGCACCTGCGCGTACTTGAAGCAGAGTAAAGTTGGACGTGTAGACTAGGTTTCTCAGTCCGGTCTGAATTCTACAGCTCATTCAACTTGTACTGGGAAGCCCGGCTTCTTTGTAGAAAGCGGTAGAGTGGCAGCAGGTGGCGGAGGGACTGGCCAGGGCCCTCGCCATGCAGCCGGGCCCTGCACCCAAGCACCCAGAGCAAACAACGGCCATCGCGGCTCGGCGGCTCGGAGCCTCGCCTCAACCCTCCGCCTCGCATGGCGTGCAGGAAGTAGGCGCGCTGCGCCCAAGGCCTGGGAGGGAAAAGGAATCCCGCGGTCATGCTGGAAGCAGAGGTTTCATGCGAGTCTCGGACGCAAAGGCACATGCGACCTCCAGCCAAATGCAGCACGCCCAGTGCGCTCATCTTTCTGTTCTTAGCAGAGCTGCCTCTACAAGAACAGCATATCTCCAGTTGCCCGCAAGAGCTCCAGGCCTGCCGTCAAAACGGCAGACACCCTGCCGTAAGACACCCTCCCTCCCTCACACCGCAACGGCTGCACCTCGTCAAAAGCCTTGGAAACATCAGTAAGTCAAGCATCTTTCCGATGTGTGCACTTGAAAGTGCCTGTGTGCCCACTTCACGAGGTGCTTCAAGCGCCGTGTTGTGGGGATCGGTGGAAAACTCCCAGCCTCAATACTGCAATTGCCCATCCCCGGTGACATCGCCGAACAGCTCTCCTGGAGACACAGCATCAGGGCTCTGACGATAGCAGCCTCAGTGGTCGAGCGTAAGCCACTGCGACATGTTTTTTGCTGCTTGTTGCAGCCGAAAGACTAAAGCTGTGGCACCCAAATCATCCGGCCTGGCGATACCCTGTCGACGACTTTCCCGCTCACCTTACAAGTGCAGCTGGCACAAACTAGAGAGCGAGAGTCCGAAAAGTGCTTGTAACAGCGAGGCAACACTGAATATCATCGCATCCGTCCGTCCGTCTGTCCATCCATCGATCGGTCCATCCATTCATCCCTTCATGTATCCATCCATGCACCTACCCATCCATCCATCCAGCCATCCATCATTCGTTCATTACTTTACCTATCCACACAACCCCTCGACTATAAACCCTTCTATAACCCTGCTCATTCTACGAGCCCTCCCGTAAACATGTCTGATCGCTTCGATAAACCCTTCGATACACCTTTCCTACAACCCTCTGCAAATGCTCTTCTAAGCTTGTCTGTAAACTTCTCTAAGAAACCTTCTGCAAGCCCTCCAGCCCTTCTAGGAACACTGCTATACTATATATAGACTATAAACTATAACATGAAAACCGTTCTATGAAACCATTCTATATCCCTTGGTTCCCCATAAAGCCTCCCATGAACAAACCCTCTTAAAAAAAAAAAAAAACTTCTCTCACGTGGGGCACGTGAGCCCAATTTGGAGCCGCATTTACGACCACTCCGTTACACCAAGAAGGTTGCCATTTCCTCATCCACCTCCATAGAAAAAACCTTCGCGCATGCTTTGCCATTGTAGCAGCTCAGGCACTCCGCTGCCGTGCCCAGTGCGCCCCTCCCATCGCTCCCAAAGCGCTCGCAAGGGCAACCTCAAAAGAGGGGACCAGAAACAACAGTGAAGAGAACCGTCGCCGGGCTCGCTCCCTTCGCTGGGCGCTGCTGGGCATGGGGCCTTCAGAGTTCCCAGAGCAAGAAGAGGCATCGCAACCTGCGAGGGCCCACGTCAAAGCAGACAGTTCCCACTTGAAGCAGACGCGTGGGAGTCCGGGCTAAACCAGCATAGCCCACAGTTCCGACTGCAGCACAGCCGATCCTCACCATCGCAGGACATGCTGGCCACGGAGTCCGTATGGACTGTTGCACGACTGATGCTGCGGGCGAGGTGCAGGCTGCAGGCCACCTGCTGGACCTGGGCGTCCCTTGAAAGGTGCCGGGCCTCGGATGGCTGAGGCTGGCATCTGCGCGAGGTCGAATCGTAGGATATCGTAGGTCACCCACGAAGTCCTCCTCGAAGCTTCGGAGGACCTCCCGAGCCATGGCAGCCTCCTGTCCCAAACCATCCTTACAAGGCGCGAGTCCGCGAGAGCTCTCAAAGATACGCGCACGTCCCTAGCTGCCTAGCTCTTGCCAAGGCTCGGCAATTCGGGGAGCGAAGGCCGCCATGGCTGTGCAAGCGCACACATGTGGGTCGGAGCGGGGGGGCTCTCCGGGGACGGCTTCCGCAGGTTCAACTCTTTCGAGATGCTCAGGAAAGTTTGCGCAAGCCCTGGGACATACGGAAGCGCGGTCTGACCTCCAGGATTTTGTCTCAAGTCTTAGCTACAGCTAGCACACTTGGCTGTGACCATTGCAGAAGCAGCAAGCAACAGCAATGAAACCGTGCTGATAAATGTGGACGGTAGCTTGGCAGAGCCGGGTGAGGAGGCTCTCCTGCGGAGTCAGCTGATATCGGCTGCATCATGATCCTCGGCTTGCCGACCATGAAAGCTGGTTTTAGCAATGCCCGACAGGATCCTCTTCTTAGTGCTGCCAGGCATCTTGCAATGGCCGTCAGCTTCAATGGCAATTGTCCAGGAGTCTGGAGCCTCCACCTGGCATGGCTTGCACTCATTCGCAGGCTGGCAGCGAGAGCGTGCAACATGCGAGAAGTCCCTGGTTTTACATGGCTGGCCTACTAGAGCTTTAGCGAGAGTCTGCGCCTTTGGCGTCACAGCTCTCTTCTGCAACGCCGGCCGCAAGCGGCTTGCTCGATGCTGCTATTGCCAACCAACTCTGAAAGATGATGAATCGGTGGGCTGCGGACCGCCAACGTAAGTGCGAAGAGCTGACTACGTCTAACTTCAGTGAGACGAGACCATGCAGCACCAGAATTCGGCACTTCAGCTCACAATGTCATTGTCAGAAAACAGGATTCCAGGGACCATATCTTCCACCTGGCTGCACATGGTGAGCAAACGTCGCATCAAGACTGATCTCGGCCTTGTGGCTGGAACTTTGGCATGAACGGCTCTGAGGCTGACTTTGCAATCAGCGGCTTTCTCTCAACACGAAGTCGCCTTGGTGTGCACGCTCCCTCGCCCTCTAGCATCGCCCATGAGTACACCTTGGGCAAGGCGTCGGTGCGCTGGGCTTCCGGCCAAGTTGGCTCCTTCTCATGGCTGCCATCATCTACATCCTTATATACGTATGTCGAGTCAAGCTTCGGGAGCAAGCAGCGTTGCAAACGGCTATAGACACCAAAGGCGCTTTCCAGCGATCGAAATAGCTTCGCATGTTCACCTGGCACGACGTCGCCAGTCAGGAGGCTAAACTCAGCATCCGAGGGAAACCTGCAGGCGATCGTTGTCCCGGGAGAAGAGCACCTCCCAAGGAAGGGCTTGGGCGGAAGCCATGATCATGTCAAAGCAACGCCCAAGCAAGCAGGATCCGGGCCGTATGCTTCCGGTCCCATCCAGACTCGCGCTTCCTCGCATGAAAACGTCACACCCGGATGCGACAGCTGCCAAACTTGTCCGGCTCGTGGCTTTTTGTTCTGCCGAAGTGTGGAATTCTCCCAGGCGAGACGACGAGCTGAATTTTGAGGTGAGACGACGAGGGTGAAACTTCTCCGCCACTTTCTTTCATTTTCCTGCTCCTCGGGTCAACGACAGCTTTGGCAACTGCCAAACGCTAGGGTGGAACGCGCAAACAGCTGTGTCACTAGATCGGTTGCCAAGTGGCTCTTGCGTTCCAGGCCACCTTTCTCAAGCTGGTCGTCGCTGCATCGCTCAGCAAGCCACTTGATCATGTAGAGCTTTGGATCCTTAGCTACAGCTTGCAGAAAAGAAGGTTGCAAAAGCTTGGTAGACGGGGGGGGCGAAGGACTTCAACCAGCAGTTCACACAGGTGGGGCGAGCGAGTCCTGTTCGAGGCAAGCGTCTTCCGGCTTCTCGGCGATGATGCCTCAATGCCGAAGGAGCATGACATGTGAGACATGTGAGGCATGTTAAGCATTGCCCAATCCATCACAGCGGCCGTTCATCAGCTTCGTCACCAGGCGATCCAGGCCGTGCTGGTCGACATAGCGCTGCCTTGGCGGACTGTATCGGACTTCACCGGGTCTGGATGATGTTAGGAAGCAGTGCATCGTCCTTCGCCGCACTTGCACTCCAAGAAAGCACGACATGTGTGGCGAGCACCACCGAGACAGGAGGCTGGACATGATTGAGGTGTCCAGCCACCACGAGATCATCCAAGTTGCGCTTCTTCCTGTGCTTTCGTGATGTTCTGTGGCATCGGCATCGCTTCCTCAAGCTCAGAGTCTGTGCCCCAGGCACAGGAAGTCTGGTGTCAGTGCAGGCGATGGCGGTCAAGAAGAAAAACAGCGGCTTGGCTCCTCGCGTATCTCCTTTGTAGGAACGGAAGTCACAAACACTCGGATGGCTTAAGTTGGGCGGAGTGGCTTGCAGGCCGTGCGGCTTGAGCCGCAGAGTTGCTGCGAGTTGTTGAGCTTTCGATGTGCCGTCACTGAAAATCAAGGCTGTCAGGAATTGCATGCGGCTAAGCACTAACCTTGACAAAGCATCCCCACCTCTGAAATGACAGATCGCCCGGCGCATGTGGTGTCCCCACCTCCAAGCAGCAGACTGCGTCAAGGCTGGGGAGTGTACTCAGCACTCCGGACGTGAGAGCGGGCACCTTGCGACACTGTTCGGCTGCGGCTTTTCGAGCTTCCTGGTAGCAAAGGACGGCGGCACAGACACTAGCAGCACTAGTAATCACTAGTAGTCTGGAAGGCGGGCCTCGGCAGCCTTCATCACGGGATTTCCCCTGAAACCGACTGACACAACAAACTCGGAGGTCACGACAACATAAACGAGTCCCAGGCTGCTCTTTTTCTGAAGCTTCCTGCCAGGCGCTCACGTCTTCTCTCGCCGGCTGCCTACAAAGGGAAAGACATGCGCGCCTGCGCGGGGACATGCCTGGGCCCGAAGGATCCCGGCCTCGGCTGGCAAGACGCAGAAATCGAAGCAGTTACTGGCTGTCCAGCTGAGCAACCCAGAGTCCTTCACCGCCTGCGCCGTCGGTGAACCTGCTAAGACAAACTTGACGACGTCGGGCATCACCCACTGGGGCTGCTCCTGGCTCCACGGGAAAGCTTTCTCAAACTGGCTTCCTCACCGCACCTTCCAGGATGCGTTCGGAGCGTCAAAGATCCGATAAGCCTGCCCAAGCGAAGTGCAAGTCGTGGAGCGACAATTGCCGGAGCTGTTCGGGGCTGCGCAGCCCGCCTTCTCTGGGGTTTCTTCTTCAGGAATATCGAGACGCCACGTCGGCCGCAGCCGTCGCCGCGGTACAACCGGGTTGTCTTCTGAGCAGGACCCGCAAAAACTGGTGTCGCCGGCTCTTCACTTGAATGTTCAGGGACACGATACTTAGGTTTGTGCGAAAGACTTCAGGTACCCTCATTAGCGGGCGACGAGCAGGTGCACTGCGATCCAGCCTCGCTCGACTGGCCGTCCAAAGTAACCTAAGACAAGACCCACCATCCGGCTGCCTTGCTATCTCTACCAACATGCAGCATACCGGCGAACCCACGTGGCACATACCGCGAGAGAGAGAGAGAGATAGACAAATGAAAAAACGCTAAACACACACAGAGAGATATCTATATAGATAGATACACAGACAGATAGATATATAGATGGGTAGATAGGTAAACAGATAGATAGATAGATCGATCGATAGATAGATCGATATATAGATGTATAGATCGATGGATAGATAGATAGATCGATAGATAGATAGACAGATAGAACGATAGATAGATAGAATGATAGGTTGATAGATAGATAGATAGATAGATAGATAGATAGAACTATGTATACATATAGATGCTGCTGCATTTTCTCTGCATAGAGCACACACACACATGGGTGGTTGTCAAAATTATTGTCCCTTTTGGGTACCCTAAATAATAGGTGCCGTATTATCGTAAGGACCCAAAAAATGACCCTAATTTTGACAACCGCCCACATGGATATGCATACTTGGTTTCGGTGGCTTCGCGTGCATTGACGCCGACTCAAGCTCTTCTGAGATCTGGCCACCAGGGCATACCGTAACCTTAGTAGAGTATAACTATAGTACGCTATAGTATTTCATAACTATGCTATATTATAGTATAGTAGATGCTTCTGATAGTATATTATCGTATATTGTAGTATAGTATACCTACGTGTGGCCGAAAGATTCTATGACCTGAGGCGGCTTGCTCACAAATAGCCCCGAAAATGCCGCAGCACAGTGGTTTCTACTTATCCTATCCTTGTGGGGATTTCGAACCCTGCAGACTACAGTGGTTCACGGGGAGGTGTTCCGTAGACCTGGGCGAGGAAGTTACGCTCAGTCTTAAAAAGGTGATCCACGGGTTTTCGGGGCAATCGGCTTGCAGCCAAACTGCAAAGATTGGTTATTTTGGAGTGGAAAGCGTGTTTTGGCCCCAGTAGTCCGATGTAAGTACCCAAAGAAGAACCAGTTGAGCCTGTTCAGCTACACTCTATGCAGCAAGCTGGTATTCTAGACTAGCCGAGACTTCTTGTAGCCTTCGATGGTGAGGGCTTGTTTATGGTAAGAAGCAGTTTCAAAGGATGTGGTCAATCAAATCATTGAGCCGGGGCGCATCCCCAAACTTGATGCGCTGCGTTTGGAAGTGATCGAATAGTGTTGTTTTAGCTGTAATGGACTACGAGGATTTAAGAGGCGATTTGTGTATTTCTTTGACGCCAATATCAGTTGCTACGTAGTAACATCCAGTGGACATCGATTAAACACTGTTACAGCATTGCCTACCTGCTAAACTGCTTCCGTAATTTCTTTTGGTTAGGTGCAATATCAAACAAGGTTTAAGTACCCAATATCTAGCAGAATGGAGTCCACATCAAGCAAACACTGACAAGGTACTACCAAACTGCTGCTCATTCCTGCCATGCTTTTGTGTGATTAAGTTTGGTTCAGTACGAACTGATAGCATCTCGATACCAAGCAAGTGCTGAGTATATAGTACATATGTGAGCATTGCCTCAACATCATGCCGCTATTAAATATTAAGCAAATAATTGTTAGACGCCAGCAGCTGCAACTTTGAGCATTGAACGCCTATTGACCAACAAGCTAATGCGTAAACATATAGCAGGTGACTTTTAACAGAAAGGGACGCTGTGGTGGCTTGTGTTTCTCGTGCTTAGAGTTTTTCTATGTTTTCTATGTTGCGAATGTAACCAGATCCCAAAATCTCAATCACACATAAGCATCAACTACTTACGGTTGAAATATCATTGTCCCCAAAGCCTAGGAACCAGCAAAAAAGCACACATCCCTGAAACTCCTAGAAAACCATAGAAACCCTAAGCCCTTAACCCTACACCCTAAAACCCTAGAAAGACACAGAAACCCTGCACACCAAGCCGCAACCTGATCAGAACTCAACACCAAGCCCAAAAGCCTCAAACCCAACCCCTAACGTTGGGGCCTTAATAATTAGATCAGGGTTTTGGGGGGTCCTTATTATAATTATAGCATAATATACCCGCAGGCCCTATTCTAATTATTA